TGCTGTTAATATTTCAGGTTATAAAAACAAAGATTAATAAATATAGTGGTAATCTTTACTTTCTTTTTGGTTTTTTTTTTTTGTGTCCTTTAAAATGGCAAAGAAATGGATGTTTTCTAAAAGAAGCAATAGAAGAATTACTTTATTGGTCAAGTACTTACCTTCCCTGTGGAAATGTTACTAATCAGAATAATAGCTCATTTATTTGGTATTCTTGTTTTGTTACTGAGTCTGGCAGTTATAAAAAAATATATGTATGGAGCACATCCTATGTGCCAGAAATTATTCTGTGCACTCTTTATATATACCCAGTTTTTCTGATAATATTAATTCTTTTAAGTACTGAATCTTAATTTTAACCAAGTCTATCGCTCTTGCATTTATTTATTTTAGAAATGGATCAGTTACTTAATTAGCGTCTGTGTAAGAAATTTAGAACACTAATTATGAGGTGTGAGGATAAATTCCATTTGTGAGAGTGAGCCTGGAGCTGAGGAATAGCTTTGATTTTTGGCAGCATTTGCAAGTCCACAGCTTTCTGATCAACCTTGTGTAGCTCAATAGTCTTATAAATTTCTTTTTTTCTGTGTCACAGATCTCATTTTTCTGGTGCCTAGGTTTATGCAACTGCTTCTTGAAGTAAGCATCTGAGATGTTCTGGGATTTTCACACTGCTGATATCAATTTTGGTGGAGGTGGTAATAACAAATTTCTGGTGTGTTCTATGCAGAGGAACTTGATTGAGTGACAGAGGTCCAGTCACAGATAGCAAGCCAGTCCTTAGCTGTTTCAGGAAAATCACCCTCTTGCCAAATGTCATCCACAGAGGATGATCAGAATGGTTCCAGAAGTAGTGCTAGTGCTCATTTTTCTCATGATTACTGAAAATATTCTGTTTTTGTACTCAACAGCTTTTAAGCTACACCTTCAGTATCATGGTATCTAGGGTACCACCATTCTTGGCACCACTAACTAGTTTGTGACAGTTACAACCTTATTTTTTTCAATCCTGAATCTAGCTGCTGAATACATCCTCTTATACATGGTCTCACTGGAATACCTAGCAGGTTGGGAATACCTGCTAGTTCCTCTGATTATGATGGGGTTTTGGCTGCAGTGGGGGCTTCCCCTTATGTGTATTGGCCTGTAGTTACCCTTCTTATTCTTGCCACCAGCCACATGCTTTTGACTTCAGTTTTTCCTCTCTCGTGACTGGCTTCTTAGCTTCTTCATCCATCATCTTGCAATATGAGAAAAACTATTAAACTTTTAAAGGCTTCCTGCCTGAAAAGTTATAGAATGGAGAACAAAAAATTATTTTAAATATAGACTTAGCTCCTTGAATTAGTTTCCTCTGGCTGCTGTGACAAATACTCACAAATTGGCTGTCTGAAAAACAGTGATCATGTGTCCTCTCATAGTTTTAGAGACCAGAAATCTAAAATCATTATCAGTGGGCTGATAGCAGAATGTCAGCAGGACCATGCTTCCTCTGCAGGCTCTGGGGAAAATTATTTTTTGGGAAAAATATTGCTTTTTCTCAAACTTGTAGAGGCTACCAGTATCCTTTAGTTTGTGCCTGCATCACTACACTCTTCAAGGCTCCTATCTTCAAATCTCGCTCTGATCCATTTTCATATTGCTGTCTCCTATATATCTGTATTTTTCTCTTTTGTGTCTTTTTTATTTTTATTTTTTAAAGATTATACAAGAGCTGGGGTACAGGTCAGGCGCGGGAGGGTGAGAGGATTCACCAGAGCCAGAGCAGGGAGCAGAACAGGCAGACAGACCGAAAGCTCTGCTGAGGGGAGCAGCGGGTGAGACAGGAGAGGTCTGCTGAGCCATGTGGGATTCTCCCCAGCCAGTGGGGAATTGAACCGGCTCTGCAGAGGCTGTGGACAGCTTCACAGTGCTGTGTTCAACCCTCTGCACTACCAGGGAGGCCCTCTTCTGTATCTTATAAGGACACTTGTGTTGGCATGTAGGGCTCCCTCAGCTAATACAGAATAATCTTCCCATCTCAAGATACTTAATATTTTTTTAAAGATTTATTTTATTTTATGCATACAAGAGCTGGGGCACAGGCCAGAGGTGTGGGGTGGGGGTGAGAGTATTCACCAGACACAGAGTAGGGAGCAGAACAGGCAGATTGACCAAAGTACACTGCTGAGGGGAGCAGCGGGCGAGTCAGCAAAGGTCTGCTGCGCCATGTGGGTAGCTCCCTGGGCGGCCGGGGGATCAAACTCATGCTCCAGATGCTGAGGATAGCTTCATAGGTTGCATCTTAATCCCTTGAGCCAACAGGGAAGCCCTCAAGATACTTAATTTTGTCTACAAAATCCTGTTTTCTAAATAAGGTAACATTTACAGATTCCAGGATTTAGGACCTGGTATGTTAGGGAAATATTTAGCCTCCTATAATCCTTATACAAGTTTTATATCTGGTCATGTGCTAGGACATAGAAATTGAAATAAATATATAGAATATAGGATTCTGAAATCCTGTGAAGTTGTAAACTCCCAGTTTGCTTTTTATTCCAGCAAACTACAGAATCAGATTTGGGATTTGGTTTTCAGAAATGCTGACTATTCTCCTAAATTAGGAGACAGGTTGTTGTAGGACAATCATAGAAACGTTCGGGTTCCTTACCTGAACCTTAGGCTGTGAATTTAAGCCTTAAAGTTCATTATTTTCTTTCTCCAAGTTTTTTTTTAAGCTGACTTAGATGCTACCAGTGAACACCATTATATGTTTATTCCAATAAAGTGCTTATGGCAGCAACTACTTGATTATTCTTGATTACAGTAGACCCCCACTTTATGATTGGTCCACTATCCGGTCAAATGACTTTACAATAAGTTCTTCCTATTAAAAATATTAATCACTTTATGGTTTAATACTTGAGTTATAATTGCTGCCAAGAAGACCAGGTGGATGGGGCATTTTGGGTTAGCTAATGAGCCAGTCATGGCCTATTTGTCTTTGATGATTTTTCTCACCCTGGTTTCAGTAATTTTTTTTTTTATGCTTTAATGTATTCTCTCATATAAGTAGTTGTTGAATTACATGAAAATATTGTGCTAAACTGTAACCATGGGCCTTAAAGAGCATTTTTTAAAAAAGATTTATTTATGCATACAAGAACTGGGGTACAGGCCAGAGGTATGGGGGTGAGAGGATTCACCAGGGACAGAGTGGGGAGCAGAACAGGCAGATTGACCGAAGTACACTGCTGAGGGGAGCAGCGGTGAGTCAGTAGAAGTCTGCTGCTCCATGTGGGTCACCTCCCTGGCCGGGGATTGAACTTGTGCTGCAGTGGCTGCGGGTAGCTACATAGTGCTGTGTCTTAACCCCTTGCGCCACCAGGGAGGGCCCATTAAAGAGCATGGAAATTTCTACTAAAATGAAACAGGAAATTATAAAAAAGCATGATGATGGTGGAAAAGCCAGTGAATTGGTACAAGAACTTGGTTTTTCCCACCCACTCCATCAGCAAACTGTTAAATGATTTTGAAATAACCTTTCCAATTTAAGTGTATTTTTAATTTTATCTTCTCAATATCAATAAAAACAAAATTCAGTATTTTGTTTTATTGTATAAATCACAATCACATAAATTTAGTAATGTGCTGGAAATTGCAAACCATGCCATGTTAGGATGAATTATGTAATACTGATGTACTATTGGGTTCACATTACAGTATTTTCACTACAGGATTGCATGAGCAGAACAGATTTATATCATAAAGTGGGGGAGGGGTCTCCTATATAGGTGAAAATTTAAATAATTTTTGGTTTAGCAGGTTGAACTATCAGTGACTCCTTTATCACTGGTAATTGTTCATTAATGTCTTTATTATATAGAGTCACATTAGAAAAATGACTTCAGATTCTTCTTGTTATGGTCCTGTTACTCTGGAACCATTTCTTGGCACTAGCTGTACTGGTTATGGTTTAATAGAGCAACAGAATTTTTTACTATTATGAAATATTCTGAGTACTATTACTTTTACTTCCAATTTCCTACAACAGCAATAAGAATTTCAATAATTGTGGAAGAAGTAGGGTAAGTCAAGGTCAAAGAAGAAAGTATCAGAGAATTCCTGAAAAGTCACTAGGCAGCCCTTCTGAAAGACTGGTGTGACTAGACAAAGTCAAATTTCAAAGGATTCTAAGAAGTAAGTCATGTCCTGCAGCCAGAGTAGGACAATTCAGTGGTGCTGATGGAAAATTTACAAAAATAGTCACTTCTGTGTAACTGCATACTGTGTCTACAGTTGAGAGTTTAGCAGAGAACCTGGGGGAAGAAGAGCTGATCTAGAGCAGGAAGAGTGAAGCTGAACTAAAACTTATCAGCGCCTATATTTCTGTTTTACCATATTTGACCCTAAAAATCTGCTGAGAGTAAGGATTCTTCCTTCATTTCTGTTTTCCAAAACTTCTGCAGATTTTATGCTTGCCCAATTCTAACCTGGAACCATATAGAGAAAGGGGTTTTGGAGTACAGTAATACTGAACAATTTCAATCTAAGAATTAGAATACAAATAGCTTTTGTATTTGTATAGTTTGAGAAATATTTGAATACTATTATTGCTTTTACCTGATTGTAGGAATGGAAATTCTAAAGGCTGAAAGAATAAGGTTAAAATTGACTATACTGTAACTTACATACTGGCGATAATGTCTTATGTAAACAGACACCTGACACCTTGAGGAAGAAGAGGAAGGAGAAACAATGAAACTGTTGTTTAAACTTAGAATGTACTAGAAGCCATAGGTGGTGAAGCGAATTGTTAAGTGTTGAACAGGGTTGTGCTTTTCTTAAGCACGTAAGAGTAAATTTAATGTAAATAACCTTCAACTCATATTTCTTTCACTTTTATAAAAAATAAGATTTTGATATTTTCGACAACATTATGATGGATTTCAAGTACAACACATCGTTGCTACTTTTTGGAAAACTGCTAAGATAGTTTGATAAGAAGATACATAAATAGCCAGTGTCAGAAGTGCAAAGCTATTTGTGATGAATTTTATTTGTTGTTATTCAGCACACAGTTAAGTTTGGGGATCATGGAAGATAATGGACAAAAAAAATGGCACTGAGGTCAACATTTCTGTATGTATTTATTTTTTCTGCTCATTTGGAAAAACTGAAAAGATTTATTTGTATACCAATGGCTGTTTCTGGCTAATACATACTGTGAATAAATATTTGCTTAGTATTTTATAAATTGCATGTTTTCATATGTACTCTATAATGTTATTAACCTCTAGTAGTTTATTATATTGTACTTAGGGAGTACATTTCAGGATTAGTATTTTGAAATATAAATATAGCTCATTAAAAACGGTAAGTTGGAAATTTAACCTTTGTTTTTACAATAGAAGGAAATTGATTTGCAGAATTTCTTAGGTACTTAGTAGTCTTAAAATCTGCATAAATTTTATACAGTTTTAAAACATTGCGAAAATATTTAGTTTCTGATACCACGTAAATCTAATATTCAACCCAAAATAGGTTCAGGGAGCTTAGTCACAGGGTCATTTAAGCAACATGGGCTGTGATTTGTTGACTGGCTTATAAAATTTTTGAATGTAAATCTAATGAAACTACATTTGTGAAAGAACTTAGCCACTTTCTTTTTGATTATTTTTATGAAACAGTAATAGTCTGGAAATCAGGTGATTGGCAGTAATTTGGCCTGGGAGAGGAGTTAGGTGGTAAGAGAAAAATGTTGGTAGGACTGAAATGAAATCTTAAACATGAAATTGTTTAAAGTTTGTTTTTAATTATAATGAGAAATAAAGATTTTAAAGTGGAGAATCTCTTAATTTTATAAATTGGAGAAGTAGATTATAATGTTTTGGTCAGTTTCATGTGTATGGATTAGCTGTGCATTTATGGTTTGTAATAAGTAAAAATAGTTATATCTATATTGCATTTTTTTTTAAGATTTATTTTTTTTTTTAATTTATTAATACAAGCACTGGGTACAGTCAGAAGCGCGGGAGGGTGAGAGAATTCACCAGAGCCAGAGCGGGGAGCAGAGCAGGCAGAAGGACTGAAGTACACTGCTGAGGGGAGCAGCGGGCGGCAGGAGAGGTCTGCTCACCATGTGGGACCCTCCTCCGGTGGCCAGGGAGCAGCCAGGGATCGAACTGGCGCTGCAGAGGCTGCGGGCAGCTCCGCCACCCAGCGCTCAACCGCTGCGCCACCGGGGAGGCCCCTATATTGCATTTTTATCATCTGAGTATTATACTTAATATTTTGTTGCATTTTACATTTGTACTGCTCTCAGGAGAATTGTAATTTAAATTGTGGTTTGTTACAGGGGATCTAAGATAAACTAATCATTTGCATGCATTTTATATTTCAGCTTTGTATTAGAAAGACAACTCTGTTCTTTATACCTCTGTGTCTCCTTTACATCTCATACGTAGCACTTCACTTCTGAACCTTCTGCTCACTAGATGTGTGTGTGTGTTTTTTTCCCCCCAGACCAAGTACTTTTCTCTGACACCATATATATGGGTGTCCTATAATGTAAATCAGTTCTGATGCTTTCTATCTGAAGATAGTGTCAAATTCCACAGTTACGGGTTCAGTCCCACAAAATTGCCCATACTGCACTTCAATTGCCGATCACAAGTGGTGGGTCCTCAGGTTACCCCACAACTTCTGCCTACAAATATGAAATTTCCATGACCACCTCTATTTGTTAGAGGAGCTCAGAGAGTTCAGAGAAACACTCATGTTTATCAGTTTTTTAAAGGCCATGAGAAAGGAGACAGATGAATAGCTGGATGAAGGAGTACATAGGATAAGGTCTAGGAGGGTCTTAAGCAAGTGTAGAACCAACCTCTGTCTTCCTGGAGGTGGAGTGTGTCACCTTCCTCCTGTAGATGTGTTCACCTGCTTGGAAGCTCTCCGAGCTCCATACTATTAAGATTTTTATGGAGGCTTCATCATGTAGGCATGATTGATTGCTAATTCCAGTTTTGTCCCTTTCCCTTTTCAAAAGACTGGAAGGCAAGGCTGAAAATTCTAAGCTTCTAATCATTGCTTTTTCTTATCCAGGATCTCACTCAAAGTGGCCTCTTTAGAACAAGAGAGACTTCTATCACCCAGCTAATGATAAATAATAAAAGTCTCAGGAACCCTATGTCAGGGTCAGAGGCCAAAAAATAAACAAAAGATTCTCCTAGTGTTCTTATTAACTAGGAAATTATAGTGGTTTCAGGAGTCATATGTCAGGAGTTGGGGACAAACACCGATATATATTTTTCTATTATACAGACTTAAAAAATACATTGTGTTAAAAACTGTATTATCAAGGTGAACCTTTATATTGGTGTTGTATATACTTCAAAATAGAAAAGCAAAATAGTAAAAATAGCATATCCTTAGAATCTGACCTTTAAATTTTCATTTGAAAAGAAATTAGAACTTGCTACAACAACAGGTACATTATGGCCTATTTGCACAGGATAAACAAAAGACTTCCTTGAACAGATTTGAAATCATTGCTTGGCATTTTCCAGGAGAATCGGATGTCTGTGCCAAATGTAGGTTGCTGGCAACTTGTTCTCATTTCATACAGAGATAAAGGCCACCATGATATACTAAGGAATTTTACACAAGTATATAATGGGAGCTCAAGAAATTGATCTTTAATTATATAACTTGAAATTTTCAATTAGAAATTTTATCACCTTGAACAAGTCATTTAATTTCTCTGTTCACTACTTTCTTTTTATATAAATGAATGGTTATTGGGGCTTTGGTGGTAGGTGTGGTATATAACATTTGTAGTGGTATGAATCTGTACTCCTATACACAGTGTTTTAAATCACCATATCTCAAACATTATTTAAAAAATGAAAAGATTGAGCTAGTGATTCTTAAAACATCTTTTACCTCTAATGCTGTATTTACTTCATATTAGGATTCTTTTGCTACTGCAGATTTACAAAAAGATACTCATATTTTCTCTCTGAAATTTAAGTGAAATTCTTTTTTTTAAGATTTATTTATTTATACAAGCACTAGGTACAGTCAGAAGCACGGGAGAGTGAGAGAATTCACCAGAGCCAGAGCAGGAAAAGAACAGGCAGACTGATGAAATACACTGCTGAGGGGAGCAGCGGGTGTGCAGGAGAGGTCTGCGCGCCATGGGGGACCCTCGCCGGCAGCTGGGGATCGAACAGGCACTGCAGAGGCTGCGGGCAGCTTCGCAGCCCAGCGCTCAACCACTGTGCCGCCAGGGGAGGCCCCTCAAGTGAAATTCTTAAGATCTTTTTTCAATCATTTTATATACACATATATCTTACCATTAAAAATTTTATACTTATATTCACGGTGATGCATAGTTTGTGTTTAGGGACATATTCAGTTGAAGGTCGGAATTGCTAAATTTAGTAAGATAGGCTATATGACTTGGAGGATAAACTCTCTCTGTAACATGGTGTATACTAAATGTATACACTTGTTTATATACTATAAACAAGGTTCATGTTAATAAAATTTAGGGTCAAAGATGGAAAGCATAGACTTGGTGTGAAAAAGGTAACAACCCCAATGGTATAACTCCAGAGAAATCAGCTAGAACCAACATTATGAGGAAAGTCTGGTGATGGATGTTACTACTTAGTATATCCTCAATCTTCAGTTTTTATAAATTACCTTTACTGAGTTGTAATTTATATATAATAAAATATACTCAAATGTGCCATTCAGTAAATTATGATAAATACAGTCGTTTAACCACCACACAATCAAGATATAGAATATATCCATCACCACCAAAAATTCCTTGCTATTCTTTTGCAGTCAGCCCCTAACTGCAACCCTTGACAGAAGACAACTAAGAATTTGCATCTGTCACCGCAAATTAGTTTTGCCTTTTCTAGAATTTCATATCAATGGATTATGTAGTCTATACTAATACAACTAAATCTTTTTGCTCAGTATTTGAGATTCATTGATATTTCATTGTGTATCAGTATTACATTTTTTTTTAAAAGGGCCAAAATGGGAGGGAAGAACACAAGGGAATGTGGTGATGGTTTGTGGGTGATATGATAGCAGGAGAACTATGGGAATTACAATGATGTAAGGAAAAAAATACAAATTTAAAAATAAAGTGAGTTTCTTAGAGTTCATACTGAATTAATGTTAGGGGAAATATAGGAACTCTGAATTTTATCACTGGTGATTTTTATTTATTTATTTTTTAATAAATTTTTTTTTAAGATTTATTTATACAAGCACTGGGTACAGTCAGAAGCATGGGAGGGTGAGAGAATTCACCAGAGCCAGAGCAGGGAGCAGAGCAGGCAGAAGGACCGAAGTACACTGCTGAAGGGAGCAGCGGGCGGCAGGAGAGGTCTGCGCGCCATGCGGGACCCTCCTCCGGTGGCCGGGGAGCAGCCGGGAATCGAACCAGCGCTGCAGAGGCTGTGGGCAGCTTCGCAACCCAGCGCTCAACCGCTGCGCCCCCGGGAGGCCCACACTGGCGAATTTTAATGGCAGCTTCTTTAAAGTTCCTATATGATAAGAGTCTGTTGCCTTGGCAGATCTTAAGTGAGAGTCTTCCTAGTTCTTGGTATGATGAGTATATTAATTTTGGATTAAATCTTAGACATTTTGAGTCTTATGACACCTTGGTTCTAATTAAATCTTCTATGTCAGTAAATAGCCACTGGGGAGAGTGAAAGGATGCTGCCTCTGTTGGTATTCACCTTTTCTAGGGCAGGAATGGTCTACAAAGCTCTGCCACCAAAGTCTTGGTGACTGCAGCCCCTGGTGGTGGGTATAGGGAAAAACTGCCACTTTATTACTAATGCAAGATGGGGATGGTCAGCAAGGCTTTGTTCCAGAGAGTGCACTAAACTCAGTTGGAAGATTGCTGTCTTGCCATTTCTTTGATTTGAGATAGTGGGTTTTTCTTGGGCTTTTGTTTTTTTTCAATCTGCCCACTGCCTGTTGGTGGTTCCAAGTTGTAAATTTCCGTGCCTTATGTATCTCATAGGGTGAGATACAGAGGAGGTAAAAATTCTTTGCTGTACCATCACTCAAGATCTGGGGACTCTAACCAGTTTCTCTTATTTTCTTCACTATTCAGTCTTCTTGTGGTTGCTCTGTTGCCTTTAGTTCAAGGCTTATCCCTGCAGTTAGGAGGAAGAATAGGGTGGCATGCACTTTATCGTATCTGAAACCACAAGTCTCTTACTGATTTTTAATATATGTCCTGTGTTTCCCAATTTTATTTACACTGTTTTGTTTTTCAGGCAAATGAAGATAAAACAATGTCTGCCAACCTAAAATACCTTTCCTTGGGAATTTTGGTCTTTCAGACCACCAGTTTGGTTCTAACAATGCGTTATTCTAGGACTTTAAAAGAAGAGGGACCTCGTTATCTATCCTCTACAGCAGTGGTTATTGCTGAACTTTTGAAGATAATGGCCTGCATTTTATTAGTCTACAAAGACAGCAGTAGGTATCTAGGTTTTGTTTTTGATTCATTGCAATTTATTTGTTGTTATTCACATATGACAAATATGTAAATATATGATAGTAACTGCACATTTGAACACTTACATGCATATACTGTGCATGATTTCAAACAAGAGCTGTAGGCCAGAGGTGTGGGGGGTGAGAGGATTCACCAGAGACAGAGTGGGGAACAGAACACGCAGATTGACTGAAATACACCGCTGAGGGGAGCAGCGGGCGAGTAAGGAGAGGTCTGCTGCGCCATGTGGGTTGCTCCCTGGCTGGCGGAGGATTGAACTTGTGCTGCAGTGCTGCGGATAGCCTCATAGGCTGCGTTCTAACCCCTTGCACCACCAGAGAGGCCCTCATTTCGACCTGCTTATTGTAGTTCCAGATTGAGGGTGACTAGATCTTATCCCGGTAGCTCAGGGCACATGACAGGTACCAACTTTGGGCAGGATGCCATTCAACTGTAGGGCCCACTAAAACCCACCCACACTCACTCAGACTGGGGGCAACAGACATGTCTTTAAACCTAACATGCACACCTTCGGGTGTGGGAGAAAACCTGCACTGAATGAGAGAACATGCAGGGGAAAATTTGCCAATTCCACATAGATGGTGCTTCTGACTGGAAATTTTTTTTTAATTTCACCAGTCTCAGATTGGCAAAAATAAAAAGTCTGACAATGTCAGGAATTGACAAAGAGCATGAAACAAGATTCCCTAAACAACTAATGAGAAAAATATAGCATTGATTAATTTTCAATTAAATATATTTTAATGAGCTGATATTTGAGGGTTTTTTTTTAACTAAAATTAAGAAAAAATATTTTATGTAAATTTTTTACTATTAGGGTAAGGAAAGGATAAATATGAGGTAGCAAGTTTTTAAGTTTTTTTCATTTAAAAAGTTTTCGTAATCAAAGTTTTCCAGTTTTATGTTGGGAGAGAATAAGCATCTTTAGGGCCTCCCAGGTGGCGCAGCGGTTGAGCGCTGGGTTGCGAAGCTGCCCGCGGCCTCTGCGGCGCCGGTTCGATCCCCGGCTGCTCCCCGGCCACCAGAGGAGGGTCCCACATGGCGCGCAGACCTCTCCTGCCGCCCGCTGCTCCCCTCAGCAGTGTACTTCGGTCTTTCTGCCTGCTCTGCTCCCCGCTGGCTCTGGTGAATTCTCTCACCCTCCCGTGCTTCTGAATGTACCCAGTGCATGTATAAACAAAACAAACAAACAAATTAAAAAAAAAAAAAAAAACATCTTTAAAGGGTAATTACTGGTAAGGTAGTAGGCTTGCACAGAATTTCTCCTTCCTCCAGAGGTTTGTGTATTTAAAGTTCTCTTTAACACTTTTGTTAGAGGTTCGTTAACTCAAAATACCATTTTCAGCCCTTTTTTTCCTCTAAAGTGGAGGTTATATAAAAAACCTCGATTCCCCAGTCATCTGCAGCAAGGGGTGCTATGCAACACAATCCTGGTAATTAAGAGTGGAGAACGTACCTGCTATGGCATTTTTTCCTCTGCTTTCCTGCTACCTAGAATGAGAACCAGGGTAACAGTCATTCGGTGACCTTGTTACAATAATAATGTAGACAACAGATGAAAAGCATGAAGGTAAAAAGCCAGTATCTAAAGAGCGAGCTTCATTCCTGATGTACTGTTGTAGCAACTTTGGACCTGAATTCATGATATTTGAGACAACTCTGTGGGGAGTCAGTGTTGGTTGGTTTTTTTTTATAGCCAAACCTACTCCCTTACTGATTTACCTCCTTTTTATGATTAAACCCTAACAATTAATTGGTATGACTGGTGATAAAATGAGGTGCACAAAATAAAAGTTGTTATAAAGTAAGAATACTGGGTTAACAAATTAATACTTTGAGTTTCTGGTTATTATAAGCAATATATGTGTGCACATGTATATGTAAAGTATGTATAAATCAATTTTATTGTATTTCCCAATGAAAGATAAGGATAATGTACTTGTTAATATGCTGCCTTTATACTTTAACGTTTAGCATCATTAGTGTCATTTAGCTACCATTTAGCATCATTAAAGGCATATTTATTTTTTTTTTTTTTTTTTTTTTTTTTTTTTTTTTAAATATTGAATTTTATTTTTATATTCCCCATACAATGCAAACGCCCCATTCTGACCCCAATCCTTTCCCCCGCCCCCAGCCCCAAAAAGTGTCTCTGGTTCATAGTTTTTTGGTTGATTTTGATTTTCACTTTCTTATATTCATTTTCCTGGTCCCTTATTTAAGTTTTCTAGATTCCTGCTATGAGTGAGACCATCCGGTATTTTTCTTTTTCTTTTTGGCTTATTTCGCTGAGCATGATCCCTTCCAGTGCCATCCATGTTGCTGCAAATTGCATGTGTTTATCTTTTTGAATGCTGAGTAATATTCCATGGTATATATGTACCAATCTTCTTGATCCAGTCTATTTTTGGGCATTTGGGCTGTTTCCAAAGCTTAGCTATTGTAAACAGTGCTGCTATAAACATAGGAGTGCAGGTGCTCTTTGGAATTGATCTGTGTCTTTGGGTAAATACCTAGGAGTGGAATTGCTGGATCATATGGAAGCTCTATGTTTAGTAGGTCCAGAAATCTCCACACAGCTCTCCATAGTGGTTGGACCAGTTTGCACTCCCACCAACAGTGCACAAGAGTTCCTTTTTCTCCACATCCTCGCCAACATTTGTTGTTGCTAGTTTTTTTATATGTGCCATTCTCACTGGTGTGAGATGGTATCTCATGGTAGTTTGATTTGCATTTCCCTGATTACAAGTGATGTTGAACATTTTCATATGTCTGTTGGCCATTTGCATTTCCTCTTCAGAGAAGTTTCTTTTTAGCTCTTCTGCCCATTTTTTGACTGGATTATTTTCTTTGTTGTTGCTGAGTCTCATCAGCTCTTTGCAGATTTTTTATGTAGTCTAAAGGCATATTTTAGACATAAAAGTACCTTAACATGTAGCCCAATATCCTTAAAAGTGAGAAAACTGCAGCCTGAGAGAAGGTATGTAGCTTATTAGTTATTTAATTATTGATTTTTGCCTATTTTCATGTTTTTTTTTCTAGAATGTAGTCTAAGAGCATTGAATCGAATACTACATGATGAAATTCTTAATAAGCCTATGGAAACCCTTAAACTTGCTATTCCTTCAGGAATATATACTCTTAAGAATAATTTACTGTATGTGGCATTGTCAAATCTAGATGCAGCTACTTATCAGGTACTTAAAATACATTTCTGGTAGTCCTTTTAAAAAAAAACAAACATACCACTATACTAACTGTTTTCTTTTTCAGGTCACATATCAGTTGAAAATTCTTACTACAGCATTGTTTTCTGTGTCTATGCTTAGTAAAAAATTAGGTGTGTACCAGTGGCTTTCCCTAGTGATTTTGATGGCAGGGTTGCTTTTGTACAGGTAATTATTTAAGTATATTTTCATTTTTATCACAAATTTAAAACCTTATTTGAGTATGGAGACTATGGTTCTATTATTTATTGAAACAAATAAATGCTTAATCTCCCCCAGTGACATATTTTTTGAGAGCTTCCTTTTAGTAGTATACTGCATTGGGATTTAATTGATGTAAGTAAATAAAAATCATATCTTCTGATATAAACCTGATTTTTACTGGATACCTGGAGCATTTGACATTATTTATCATTTCCTTTTTATGTTCTGTCACCTTCCCTGATGCTGTTTTTTCCTGGTCTTTCCCATATCTTGATGATGATTTCTTACTGGTTTCTTAAACCTTTCTGATAGTGGGGTTACTGGTAGGCTTGTTATTTCTTTTAAATGAGTTCCTTACCTTTGGAGATTTCATCCATTCTGGAAGTTATTATTAACACTATTTGCTGGTGGTTCTTGGTCTGTCCGTGTCATCAACTCTGCCTATTCCTGTGGTTTCAGATTTGTGTAGCCAAGACTGTTGGACAGCTTTGCTTGGTTGCTCAATAGGTGTATAAACTCATCATTTCCAAAAGTAAACTTTACCTTTTCCTATTAAACCTGTTCTTGTTTCTGTTTTTTTTTTTTCAGTCATTATTTACTCAGCTTGGACAGTTGTCCTAGACTCTTCCTTCTGCTTCCTACATTTAATTACTAAGCCTATCCTGGTTCTGTTTTTTAATACTTTTTTCTGCCCACTTCTATTGTTACTACCACAGTTCATGCCTCCTTTGTTTCTAACATTATCTTTTGCCTCCTGATTTTTTGTTTACTTCAGTCTTACCCATCTCCCCAAATTTTGCTTCCGATTAGTCACCAATGTCATCTATTGAAAAATACATCCTATCATGTCAATCCTGCCAACCTTAGAGACACCCTATGACTTTCTCTAGTGTGTGGTATGTATAACTTGCATAAGTATTTTTGATAGTTACTTATTTATACTAGAAAACCATAAATGTTATGTCAAGCCCTTATTTTCACAGCTGTTGCTTAGGATAAGCTGAAGTAGGTATTAAATTTTAAAATGAGGTATTTCAAATTAAAATATCAGTTAACTAGGGCCTCCCTGGTGGCCCAGTGGGTTGAGTGCAATACTGTGAAGCTGTCTGCAGCCTCTGCAGTATGGGTTTGATTCCCGGCTGGCCAGGGAGATACCCACATGGTGCGGCAGAACTCCTGTCTCACCTGCTGCTTCCCTCAGCAGTGTTTTCAGTTCGTCTGCCTGTTCTTCTCCCGCTCTGTCTCTGGTGAATTCTCTCACCCTCCCATGCCTTTTGCCTGTACTCCAGTTCTTGGATAAATAAATAAATCTTAGAAAAAAATCAGTTAACTAGTAGTTCAGACTTGACAAAAACTGTGAAGAAAGTCAAATAACTGTTTTGAGGAACACTGATCTACACAGTTAACGCCAGAGTAGTTGATCATGATATCATATTAATGTTCCATGATGTATTTCTACACTCCAGACTCATTTTTGCTGCTGTACCCTTCTGTACATTCTGAATTTCTACAGCTGAACTGCTTGTAAAGGCTGATAACTGCATCTGTGCATTGATTCATTCTCTTTCTCTCTTAGAGTATTTGTGGAAATTATGAGTTGTAAAAGTAATTATCACTGGGGAAAAATGATTCTAAGGTTTTCTCTCAGGAATTGCTATTCCCAAGAATGGTATTAGTTTCATTTTTACCTTAAAGGTCTGAAGGTGGGCTCTAAACATGCACTTTGCAAAATATAATAGGAATTTAACTTCAGGGTTTTTTTCTTTTTTCTTCAGTGGCCCTCAGATTCTCAAGAACTTGATTCTAAGGAACATTCAGCTGGCTCTCAATTTGTAGGCCTCATGGCAGTTCTCACAGCATGTTTTTCAAGTGGCTTTGCTGGGGTTTACTTTGAGAAAATCTTAAAAGAAACCAAACAATCAGTGTGGATAAAAATATTCAACTTGGTAAGTTTTAAATGTTTTCTAATAATTATTTTTAAGTGATTCATATTGTTCTAATTCTTTAATAAATTCTGATCTAACTATCTGGCAAGGTTTTTGCTTTAAAAAATTATGTTTTAAATGAGTACATTTTATTTAATAATATGAAATTTTAGGTTTGTGACATAGTATGTAAGCATTGTTTCTGTCCTCATCATTTGGAGTCTTAGTAACTGGTTGCTACATTTTGGAAGATGTTATAGATAACATATATTTTGCTCCTTGGAGAAGGAGATTAAGATACTAGCAATTTTTTTTTCAATTACATGATACAATCTTACCAACTGTAGTCACCGTGTTTATATATCAAATCACCAAGATGTACACTTTAAATGCCTTACAGTTCTGTCACTTATACCTCAATGAAGCTAAAAAGATTAAGATATTTAAATGGAGGAATTTCAAAGCAATGCACCTTTCATCTTTAAAATCTTGATATATTTTTATGTTTATGTTGTTTAAGTAATGTATCCTCTTTCTAACTGAAGGTAAAGAGAAAGAAAAAAAGTCCCATACAATGAAGAATTGCCTTTGAAACAAATATTAAACTATTTTTAGGCAATACTGTTATAGAGATTCCAGTATTTACTATTCTTGAATATATATATATATTTTGGAAAATGTGTGAAAGCAGCTCAATTGCAAATTGACACATTCTATTTTAAGCCTCTGTACTTGTAACTTTGGAGGTCATTTTTATAGTCACTTTTTTTATAGCCATGTCAACTTAAAAGATACAGGTTTTTTCTGCTGCCCGCAAGTAGAATGTTTCTATTTGGTAGGTATTTTTGGGGTCTGGGAACACCATTAGCATCAATTCATATGGAAAAATTTTTGAACATTCCCCGACCCAAAAAATAGCCTAATAAATCAGACCAAACTAGAAACTTCTGCTTCCAGAAAGTGGGTGGGGGCAAGGGAGAAAGTATGGGGCACACCTGTATACCATCTCTCTCTTGTTGGGAAAAGACCCTTCAAGGTCTACACAGTGAATTGTCTGTACCCTAATGGCCAGTATTTTTAAAACAAAACATCTCAAACAAAACTTCCACATTTTATAACAATCATCCAATTGTTTTCAAATAGACTGACCCTCCACTTTATTACTTTGGATTATTTAAGTTTCAGTGCAATATTTGCATAAATGTCATTTTTTTAAACATTCAAGGTAATTATTTTTAAATGCAAATTAGCTTCCTTTTGTTCAGTTTGTCTACAAGGCAAGTTTACAGTCTTGAAAAATATTAACCAACTTAATTCACCATAATTTCAGAAAGAGTGTGCCTGTGGTACAGTGTTAAGAACACCTAGCTTTATAGTCAAACTGTTCAAAATCTGACTCCATCACTATCTCCTGTGTGGGTTTAGGGAAGTTACTTAATATGTTTGTAGCTATAGTAATTATTTCATGTTACTATGAGGTTTAAATGAGAAATATTAAAAATTGTTAAATATTTAGAATATAGTATCTTGCATATAGTAAGTACTAATATGAGCTATTTATAAAAACATGAAAATATTAGAAAGGAAAGAAAGATTTTTTTTTTTTTAAAGATTTATTTATATACAAGCACTGGGTACAGTCAGAAGCGCTGGAGGGTGGGAGAATTCACCAGAGCCAGAGCTGGGAACAGGACAGGCAGACTGGCAAAATACACTGCTGAGGGCAACCGGGCGTGGCAGGAGAGGTCTGTATGCCATGTGGGACCCTCGTCCGGTGGCCAGGGATAGAACCGGTGCTGCAGAGGCTGCAGCAGCTTCGCAACCCAGCGCTCAACCGCTGCGCCACCAGGGAGGCCGGGGAAAGAAAGATTTAAGGCTAGTGTGAGTTCCCCAAATTTTCTTGAATTACGAGATAAAAATGAAAGATGTCAGAATTGATTCTGTGGTCCTTCATAGTATAATCTTATAGTAAGATACTCAAAGTTTTGAAAAGGATGAGTAAACAAGTTATAAATCAAAATTATGAATCTGAACTTACAATGTATATAAGCATATTAAAAATTGATAAGATTAGCAAATGATAAGATTAAAGTTAGTAAGAGACTGGAGAACTAGGAACTGTTATTACCTATAGTTGTTAGAGATATAGATTGATATAGCCTTATTGGATCTCAGTTTGGGAACATTTCTCAAAATTTTCTTTGATGCAAAAAAAATCCATATCTGCATCAGAATTTATCCTATCCATGAATCCACAGATAAATCTCATGCACAAGAATACAAAGATTGATGTACAAGGTTACACACTGCAGCACTGGTTACAATTATAAAAAATAGAAACATTTAGAACACTGGTTAAATAAGTTATCAATGTAATTAAGTAGTATGGTGGTTAAAATCATGGACTCTGGAACCACATCGCCTGGATTTAGATTAAGAAGTCAGTCGCTTAGCAGTCATGAACTCGGGCAAGTTTATTTAATCTGTTTGTGTTTCAGTCTCTTTTATCTATAAAATGGGCAGAAAAGTATCTACCTCATGGGGTTGTTGTGAGTTTATATCCCTAAAGCACTTAGAGTAATTAGTGGCACATGATCTTTTCCAGTTAATTGTGATTCATACAGTGGAATATTGGGCAAGGGATAGAATGCAGTAGATAGAATGCAGTAGATCTGTACACACTGACATGTCTCATACAGTCTTTTGTAATTATCAAGTATTATTTTTATAATTAAACCAATACTCTCAGAAGTATTTATTTTTGTAATTTTATTACATACATATTCATATTCAAAGACATATTGAAATGATAGAATTAGCATAAATGAGTTTGATCCCCGACCTGAGCTTGACCCCCTGCCGGGAGCTACCCCCTTATATAATGCAACAGACCTCTCCTGTCTCACCCGCTGCTTCCCTCAGCAGAGTATTTCAGTGCATGTGCCTGTTCTGCTCCCCACTGTGTCTCTGGTGAATCCTCTCACTCCCTGCACCTCTGGCCTACACCCCACTTTTTCTATAAATAAAAAAATATTTAAAAAATAAATGAATTTTTAGGAAGAACTTTTCATATCCCTTTCAGTGCTTTTCTGTTATCAAATATTTGATTAATTATGACCGTATAAAAATTGCTTTCCATGCACTTTTTAAAAATTTATTTATGCATACAAGAACTGGGATACAGGCCAGAGGTGTGGGGAGGTTGAGAGGATTCACCAGAGACAGAGTGGAAACAGAACAGGCAATTGACTGAAATACACTGCTGAGGGGAGCAGCGGGCGAGACAAGAGAGGTCTGCTGCACCATGTGGGTTAGCTCTCTGGCAGGGAGTTGAACTCATGCTGTAGTTGCTGCAGGACAGTGCTGTGACTTAACCCCATGTACCACCAGGGAAGTCTCCTCTTGCACTTTTTTTAACTACATATCTTACCAGAGACTATCCCTAAGAGGTGGTCCCTGTACACATTCCCTATCTTCATAATTTAGGATTGCTCCTAAAAACCTTTAAATTCAACAGTCATACCATTCAGCAGTAAAGATGACAATTTCTGCTGACCCTGAGCTGACTTTTCCTGATAGTGAGACTTCAGTAATGAAAATTTTTGCCTATCACTATTTCTTAGATGATTTTTTGGATATTGTTTGTACTTGCAAAAACTTCTTAATAAGGAAAAAAGACTATGCCACATACCTGAGCTTTTATATCTGCATGTATAATGTGAATATATGAAAATCTAGATGTAGCAATAGGAAGATACAAGATCCAGGAAAATATGCCAAAAGTTGAGCATTTTATAAATATTTGAATGGGACAGCCATATAGACATGTACTTTATTCATTATATTTTTTTAATGTTCCAAAGTTGGTAAACTCTACCCTTTTTTATATTATTGTATCTTATCACCATCATATAGTACTAAGTACACTTTTGGTAATAAAAATAAAATAATTTAAAAGTAGTCAAATTTTATCAAAAGGAAAGATTAAATTATTTGGAATGTCAGTGGAAAAGTATTGCTCCAGGCAAAATGACACATACTGTTTTTTTCTAGGTTTCTTTGGTAGTTTATTTGGATTGATGGGTGTATACATTTATGATGGAGAATTGGTATCAAAGAATGGATTTTTTCAGGGATATAACCAACTGACCTGGATAGTTGTTATTCTTCAGGTAAAGCATTTAAAATCTTTTATTTAATGCTAATAAACAATTTTGATACAGTAAATCAAAGCAGTTACTAATGTACTAATGCAGGGGGGTGCTCTTCTGTTAGTGTTCTCATTATACTTAGTTTATTTAAGGGTGTTAAAATAGAACTGTTTTTAATGCCACAATGAAAACTCCTTGAGAAGGGGTCATGCATGAACTTTGTGGTATTTAAATTTAATTTATAATAAAATGAATTTAAAGAGTAAAAGCTGAAGTTGAAGCTGAGGGAAAAATAGAACTTTTGAGTTTATACAATTGCTATTGTACAGGTACTCTATGGTCAGCCTGTTAAGACTCAAGAAGCAGATCTAGTTATTTAATCTGTTAAGTAGTTCATCGTCTCTTGTTGTACCTACATACTGAAATATCCTGTCAAAATGCCTTTGTTTATAATTTGAAATTGTCCAAGTCTTGAGTAATTTTTTTTAAAAAGTACTTACTGAGTATTCTGGAGGACATAAAAATTAAGATACAAATCACTGACCTCACAAAGTCTTTCTCCGGAGGTATTTGAAGGTTTAAGGAACGAAGGTATCCTTGTGAAAGGTGGGTGAAAATGACAAGGGAATGGTTGTATTTTGAAAACATGATGGATATTTCTGTTTTTAAATGGGAGAAAAGGAGATAAGGATAAGTGAAAACTCAGGGGAAAATTGATGAAGAGATAGATAAATTATAGGGAAGTATGCTGTTTTTTTATATAACCAGAGGGAAGTCCTTTTCCCTTAAGAAGGAGCTAAAGACTGAGTAAAATAAAAATGGTTTGGCAAGTGGTATGAGACATTCAGCAGGGAATAAACAGATGAAAGAGACTATTAACAACTATTGGTACTCAAACATCAATTTGTAATGAGTTCAATTGATGTAATGCCTGGCTTTCTGTTGTTAAGGTAGCTGATAAATAAGGTTTGGCACAAAACACAAAACTATGAGGTATGGCAAAACCTTTAATTTGTCACAATATGGAATTTGAGAATGATTTGGTGGAAAATTACTTTTACACTTAAAGAACAATTAAAATTGTGCTTCAGGAAAAGTAATCTGGTAGCAATAAAAGGTGGATTAAAATGGGGAGAAACTAGAGGAAGAAAGAAAAGTTAGGAAGCTATTGACAGACTCGTAAAATACTTTTCAAATTATACTTTGACTCAGAAGTGAAAATACTAATCAGAGTGACCAATTTTAACACATCTGTCTAAACAAGTGATTTTACTAGATTGGATAAAGATGTTTTATTCATAATATGGTCAAATTCCATTATAATAATTGCAGATTGTACTAGTAGTTACTTTTGCAGTAAGAGAGCTACTGAGCAAAACTTATAGGTATATTGATTATAGGTGATGCTGAATAAAAATCACTATAACAGGGTTAAATTTATAGGAAAAAAGCCTAAAAGCTTTGTTGAGTAGTAAGATTGCTTTTAATATATATATGTCTGGTTTTTAAAATAATCTTTTAAAACTTCTACAGGCACTTGGAGGCCTTGTAATAGCTGCTGTTATTAAATATGCAGATAATATCTTAAAAGGATTTGCAACCTCTTTATCCATAATATTATCAACACTGATATCCTATTTTTGGCTACAAGATTTTGTGCCAACCAGGTAATTTCTTCTCTTCTATTTCTTTAAATTCAAAAGTAAAAATTCTTCATAAAATCTGATCTGAAATTTTTTGTTCTATTACAACTTCTGAAGACTCATGAAAATACAGTAAAAGATCCATATAACTTTTTTTTTTTTTTGGAGATTACAAACAACCACATGAAAGAATCTTCCACTTGAAAGTTTTTAAATATAAATTTGTCTGGACAGAATTTCCCCAGTGCATCTGAGGGGGTAAAAATGTCATATGGTGACATTTTTAAATGCAGAATTTATATAGCTAAAGCAGAAAAGTGTGTGACATTCTCGAAGAAGATAGTTTATATATTTAGAAGGTACCTTGTGAAAAAACCTTAGGAGGTAGTGGCAGGAAAATGAGTGGAAAGGAACTGAGAGAGGAATGACGGGTAAGGCAGGAGACGTGCCTGTAGGGTCATGGAGGCCACAGGAGGAGAGTTAAGAAGAATGAAATGTAAGGATTACTTGCGTAAATGACACTGAAGATCCAGTTATTTTTATAATTATTAATTTACAGCCCTAGAGTAATGAGATTTATTTTAATGGAGTCCAGGATACTATTCTGGTTTTCATCCAACTTCATTTCCCTCCTCATCTTCTCAAAATCTGAACTTTGCAGTCTCCCAAGGCTCTGTCCTTTATCTGCTGCTCTCACTACCTCGTGAATGCTAGTCTCTTGACTTTAAATACCATTATATGATAATCAATCTCAAATTTAAAATTGAATTCCAGGCTTGTGTATTAAATGCCTGTTTGACATTTTCACTCAAATGCCTGCCAGATAATTCATTCCCTCCATCCCTATCAAGGTTTCCCAGTTTAGTAAATAGCAGCACCTCCATTCCTCCAGTTGCTGAGACTGAAATCCTCCTTGACTTAGAAAGTTTAATCTTAGAGAAGGTGGAGTCTGTAAGTATAGATATAGTTAGATGTATGTAGGAAAAAGTTATAATAAAAAGAAGTTCTTTATTTTCTGAAGGAAGTAAAGTCATCCGGCTTCTCTTTATCCTTCTCTTACATATCATTGTAACCCAGAAACAAATCTTGTCAACTCTTCCTTTTTATTTTTATTTATTTATTTTAAAACAGGTGCCATCACATTTTTTTTTTTAATGGTTTCCTTTTTTTAAGATTTATTTATACAAGCACTGGGTACAGTCAGAAGCGCGGGAGGGTGAGAGAATTCACCAGAGCCAGAGCGGGGAACAGAACAGGCAGACTGACGAAGTACACTGCTGAGGGGAGCAGCGGGTGGCAGGAGAGGTCTGCGCGCCATGTGAGACCCTCGCCCGGTGGGCAGGGATCGAGCCGGCGCTGCAGAGACTGCAGGCAGCTTTGCAACCCAGCACTCAACCGCTGCGCCATCGGGGAGGCCCATCAACTCTTCCCTTTTTAAGATCGCCACAATTTGACCATTTCTTATAACCTGAACTGTGCCAACCTTGGTCAGGTCACCCAAATCCTGGGGATTAAGGAAATAATCCTAACTTGTCTCCTTGCTTCTTCTCATCTTGTGCCCCTCAGTTTTTCTCCACTCAGCAACCAGAATGATTCTTTTCATTCCAAATCAGTTCATATCACTATTCCATTCAAAGGCCTTCTAATTATTTCCTGTGTCACTCAGAAGTTTTCATTATCATAGCCTATTTGATTTGGTAGCTCTCTGCTACCTATATGTCCTCATCTGATACTACCTTCCTCTTGTGAATTTTTTTTTCTTTTTAGCTACAATGACATCTTTTTTATGTGCTTTGACTTACTCTTCTTGGAATACTCATCCCCTCATATTCACATGGCATACTCCCTCACTTCCTTATGTCTTGGCTCAAATGTCACTTTCTCTAGTGATCAGCCTAAATAAAAGAGCACCCCTTCCATTCCAAATTCTTTTTTTTTTTTTTTTTAATTTTCTAGAGGCATGTCTTATTTATTTATTTATTATTTGTTTGTTTGGTTTATACATGCACTGGGTACAGTCAGAAGCGCGGGAGGGTGAGAGAATTCACCAGAGCCAGAGCAGGGAGCAGAGCAGGCAGAAGGACCGAAGTACACTGCTGAGGGGAGCAGCGGGCAGCAGGAGAGGTCTGCGCACCATGTGGGACCCTCCTCCGGTGGCCGGGGAGCAGCTGGGGATCGAACCGGCGCCGCAGAGGCCGGGGGCAGCTTCGCAACCCAGCGCTCAACCGCTGCGCCACCGGGGAGGCCCCCATTCCAAATTCTTTTTCCTTTTCATTAAGTAAGCAAAGAGGTACTCAGTATATTTGGTGAATGAAAATTTTTGTACAGCTAGTAAAATTCATTTTGTGTTACTGAGAGTGAGGTAGGATTATGGTTGGAATTTGGCTGTAGAAAAATACAATATTTTCTTTATATTTCTATAATGAATATTTGTGGTTTGATTTTTCTCTCTGTCAACCTGGATAATAGGTCTGGGACATGCATGCATGTTATTTTTCTGAAGCATGAATTTAGAAGTGTTTCTTTTTTTTTAACTTTGGGAATTAGTTATTTAGATAGCAAGATCAGTGAAACAATTACTGATTACATCTTAAATTGAGTATTAGAAGTAATAAGAGTATTCCTACTCCTGTTCCATACTGGGGAAGTTACGTGCTTTAATGTTATTTCAGGATGCTTTGAATTTATAGATATTTAGGATACATTTAAAAGGGCATACATTTTTTAAAAAGATTAAGGCCAAGGGTGTTAACTTTAGATCTTTGAATGATATATGGAATAAACAAGTAAATGAGCAAGCAAACCAGTAGAGAGGCAAAAGCGATAGTAGTTTGTCAATAAAATATACATCTGCATGTAAATCCCTGTTCATGAGATATGTTGGGATGATGATCAAAAGAGCAAAGACAGTAATACCGTTCCCATTGAATGAATGTTTTGAGAACTTGCACAGAACACAGAATCAGATGGAGGAGATGGATTATTTTTTCTAAAATAGATAACTATAACTAAGAAAGTTAACTAAGATAACTAAGAGTTACCTATTTTAGAAAAATAATCCATCTCCTCCAGTAAAACATCTTTTAATAAATCCAGTAACCTCCATTTTCAATATACTATTTTCCTTTATCATCTCTATTTCTCTTTCTGAAATTGTTTTTTTTTTTTAATTATTTTTTTGGTTTTTTTTAGAAGTGGTACTATTATACCTGCCTTTCTGATTGCTCTTTTGGTATCCTGTTAATCTTCACTTTCTTTTTTGGTTATATCATCTACTGTCATGTCTTGTGTTTCCTCTTTATGAAGATAAGCTCCAGTAAATCTCTGTTTACAACCAGCTGATAGCTACCTCTACTAGATATCATATTGCCAATATTCCCTTTCTTATTGGCATTACCATCCTTGCATTTAGACTTGTTTATTCTATGGTCAAAAAGGTGTTGTGTCCACTGTATGTCTGCATATCCACCATACTAGATCCTGGAAAAACAGGCGTTCAGATTGAGTTACGGTTTTCTGTCTTCCAAGAGATCACACACATCTAGAGAGACAGAAATGTGAATAAATTATAACAGTATGATCATGTAGCAATATAAGTGATATATACCATTCTATTAGAGAGGGCTCAGGTCCTAGAAACAATGAGTAAATTCGGATGGGTTTTTTTTTCCTTCTAATTTTTTTAAAAGATTTATTTATTTATTTATTCATTCATTCATTCATTCATTCATTCATTTATTTATTTATACAAGCACTGGGTACAGTCAGAGGCGCAGGAGGGTGAGAGAATTCACCAAAGCCAGAGCGGGGAGCAGAACAGACAGACTGACGAAATACACTGCTGAGGGGAGCAGTGGGTGCCATGTGGGACCCTCGCCGGTGGCCGGGGATCGAACCAGCGCTGCAGAGGCTGCAGGCAGCTTTGCAGCCCAGCGCTCAACCGCTGCGCCACTGGGGAGGCCCTCTTCTTCTAATTTTTTAACAAAACTTTTTCTTCAGAACCATGTAAAAATAGCTGACTGAAGAGGCAAAGGTTTCCTGACATTAGACATTCTAGAAGATTGTGTTAGAGATATCAGAATTTATACTTGGATTGGGTGGAAAGCTGGGTCAGATGACTTTGCAGTTACACATGTGATTCTGTGCAATTCTAGAATTCCAGGAAGCTAAGAAAAGGTGATAATGACAAGAAAGTTTTAATCAGGAGCTTATCCAAAACCTTGGTAAATCATTACCAAATAGTCTTATTGTAGTAATTTTTACCAAGATATATTATGTTTTATGTTTTCTTAATTTTTTAAAAAATATATAAGAACTGGGGTACAGGTCAGAGGCGTGGGAGGGTGAGAGAATGCTACAGAGACAGAGTGGGAAGCAGAACAGGCAGACGGACCAAAGACGCTGCTGAGGGGAGCAGCTAGCAAGGCAAGAGAGGTCTGCCACGCCATGTGGGAATCGCCCTGGCCAGCCGGGAATCGAACCGGCGCTGCAGAGGCTGTAGACAGCTTCACAGCACAGTGCTCAACCCTCTGTGCCACCAGGGAAGCCCTGTTTTCTTAATATATACCTGCAAGGTTTTGGAGAGTTGCCCATTTACATCAAGTCAACATTAGATATTTATCATAACATAATTATTGAACTCCTTACATATGCTAGACATGGGAGGTAAAATAATGAGAAAGAAGCACTTGGTCAAGCAGGGGAGCAGACATGTACATAATGTGTTATTTAATGTGGTGTGATAAGTAACAAGCATAGGGAAGTGAGTCTTGGAGACATTAGACCTGAATTGTGAATAAGCAATTATGAATAAGCAATTTTCTTAGAGAAAATGCATTGTAAGCAGAGAAAATCGCTTCTTCAATGACACTGTCCTGCAAGTATACTGGGCTCACTGAATGGAGTGGCTGAATCATGGACTGAGTGGAGTGTGGGAGATGAAGTTGAAGGGCCTTTTATGTCATAATAAGATTAGAGAGCTTTTTCCTTTACAGAACATTTTTTTAAGCAGGGAAATAACTTTGAATTTTTAATAGAAACTTCAAAACCTAGACTCATTCATGACCCTGTAACAGTATGCTAAAGAATATAAATGTTAAAAGTTAAGATTGGTATTTCAGTTTACATCCAGTTTAAGTTCCAGTACTAGTTTGAGTTCATTTCTAGTTTACAGTAAGATATTATCCATGGATAGATAAAGAAGAAACCAAGTCTCTGCATTTAATCATATTTCCTTTTATAAAGCATCTTACAACAATTAAAAGACGTTTTGCTTATTACTACATTGGATTTTAAACTGTACTTTGATTTGCAAAGAAAGCAATTTTCCCTTTTTTTCCAAATGTTAAAAAATGAGATCTGTTATCATTCAATATATTGCCAGCAAAAGGCTTATTAAGAGGAAATACAATATTTTGAACATATTTGCTTTAGGAGACAGTGAAGTAAATAAAAGTGCAGGCTCTGGAATCAGATATACATGGATTTGATTACATCCTATCTTCCATTTAGAGGTGTGGGACTTTAAGCAAGTTACTTAAACTCTCTGAACTTAAGTTTTCTTATATATTAAACATGAGAACAATACTAGCACTTCCTTGTAGAGTTGTTCTGAGAAGTAAATGTGAGAATACATGTAAAACACTTAGCTGAATTCTTGGTATGTAATAAGTACTCAATATGTTAGTCATGTTACTTGAATACTTTTTCACAAAATAAAATTGTTTTTAGAGTAAAAAATGGAAGGATTTGTTTTGTTTTTAATCTGATTTTCTTTTTCATTTTTTCTTTAGCGTCTTTTTCCTTGGAGCCATCCTTGTAATAGCAGCTACTTTTCTATATGGTTATGATCCCAAACCTACAGGAAATCTCACTAAAGCATAGTTGAATATTGTCCTTTAACTGTTTTTTCACAATGGTGCACTAGGAATCTCAATGTTAATCTTACACAGAGGACTTCTGCAGATACTAAGAAGATATCATCATGCTAAATCTAAGCATATTCAAATGATTTGAAAATATGAAAGCTTAAGGACAAAATATGTGTATATGTAACAAAAATACCAATTGCATCAAGAAATCAAAATGTGAAAGTATTTCCCAGGATTATAATTATTGGAAGAAACTTGAAATCTGAATGTTAAAAAGATTTCACCTTTTTGATTGTTGCAGAACTGTCCCCTGCACTCTGCAAGAGCACACAACAAATATCAGATGTAAATTTTTGCAAATTCTATTTAATCTGTATAAATGTTTTTTAATCTTGCTCTTTCTGTACAGATATGTTAAATCACATGTAATATTCAGAGTTTGAAAATTATTATCTATAAAGCTGTGAAGAAATAGAAGTATGAGTTGAAAAACATTTTTATGTATCTGAGATTTTTATATTTCTACAAAAGATTACCAAACAAAGGCTTGCAAATGTTATTTGACCAACTACATAAAAATTGATAAGTAACATTCTGGGTCTGATTTGTCAGAGGAAAAATTTTCATATTTAAATATAATATAGAGGAATCCACACATCTATTTATCTACATTTTAAGATCTTTTAATGCTTTAAAATGGCTAAAAGCAATTCAGTTGCACCTGTGCTATAGTAGTCAGTGACATTTATGCTAATGGAGTTTGGTCTTTAATTTCTTAACCTCATTTCTTTTCTGTAAATCAGATAAATTTTTAATATTATATTTTAAATTAAATTTCTGTGTGTTAATTTCCATTAAAGTTTTAAAATGTAATTTAAAGTTAAATACTTTAAATACTCATTTAATAATTTAAAATAAAATAATTATTGTCTAATAATTATTGTCTAATATCTCCATTTGGAGAATTCTATACTATCAAAACATATACTGTACACAACAAGAATGTTTTTAAATGAATGTTTTACTCGTTGAGCTGTAAAAGTTTTTTAGTCTACAACTGTTGACAAAAACAACCAAAAATTGTATAGTTGTCAATGAATTGAGACCAAAATGTCTTTTGTAGGAGATGGTCCCGGTAACAGATAACCATAAATTCAAAAATCTCAGAATTTTTCAGGCCTTCATATATATATCTGAGAGAGTAGCTGAATTTGAAGTTCCCTTTTTCTAGCCCTACAAAAGCTGCTGGAAAAGAGCCACCACTTGCTTTAAAATAGTGGTTTCTTTTTCTTTTTGGCTAGCACTGGAGTTGAGGTTGAAATTACATGAGTTACTTAATAAGTTGGTTCAAAGAACAGAGAATAGAGCAGTGATAAGATGAATTGGTGGGCAAGAATACTTAAATTAGGATAAGGCTTGAATTATTGGCTATAGACAGAATTGTCTAGTGAGTATTAGAAGAATTTTATTTTTTTCATTCATTCCTTATATATTTTTAAAACTCTTATTCTAATAGTATAAAAACTATAAAGAATAAATATTTTTATATAGTGCTAATGAATTTTACTAAGCAAAATCTGGCTTCGAAGTACTATGTTACAAATTGCTAGGTCCTCTTGGCAAATTAGGACTGTCACTTTGCTGATATAAACTTAAGTCCTCATAGGACACAGACTTAATCTATTCCACCCAGAGTTTAAATGTTTAAAACGACACAATATTTTCATTCAATCAGCTGGTGATTCCACACTGGCTCCAAGTAAACTTTTATGGAAGCCTGAGTTACCTTTTAGAGTATTTAATAACTTTTTCACATTTTTGAGCATGGTGTAACAACATTCAGACATGTATCTCATTACCTTATACTAAGTAAAATCTAAATCCTGCAAGTACTGAGAACTCAGGACTGAATAAAACAATTTATGTTCATCCCATATTGAAGTACTTGGGTTGGGTACTTATTAATTCAGTGTGCATTTATAATTAATTGTTCTATCAGGTTTAGTCTGGCTCCATTTAACATTTCAAAAAATGATACAGGCAAATTATTGGATATCAGACATGTTAATAGTTGGAGTAATATTTTCAGGTGTCCAAAATAACACAACTTTAAAGATTCCCAATGAAGTTTATTAAAATATAATTAAGAGGGCCTCCCCGGTGGCGCAGCAGGTGAGCGCTGGGTTGCGAAGCTGCCCGCAGCCTCTGCAGCGCCGGTTCGATCCCCGGCTGCTCCCCGGCCACCAGAGGAGGGTCCCGCATGGCGCGCAGACCTCTCCTGCCGCCCGCTGCTCCCCTCAGCAGTGTACTTCAGTCCTTCTGCCTCTTCTGCTCCCCGCTCTGGCTCTGGTGAATTCTCTCACCCTCCCGTGCTTCTGACTGTACCCAGTGCTTGTATAAATAAATAAATAAAAATAAATCTTTAAAAAATATATATATAATTAAGAATTGTTGCAAAGGACAAAATATTTTCAAAGCAAAGTTTTATTAGACAGGGATAATTTATATTCTGTTTTTCTAGTAGGTCTGAAATGTTATTAGAGATGGGGCGATAGAGTTCATAATCTTTAGCTCATAAAAAAGTAATAATTTGAGAAGATGGACCTATATCCTAGATCATGTCATATGTACAGATACCATTTTCTTATTTTTGTGGTGTTTTGAGATCCAAAAGCCTTATTAATCTTTTATAATGATGATTCCTTGATTATTTAAATTCTTTTAATAGATTGCTTTTTATCTTTCAACTACTTTGTTCATTATAAAAATAAGCTATTTCATGGGAGAAGAGTGCCAACAGATCTATTAAAATTATGGAAATAAAAGTTTGAAATACAACATATAGGTGTTTCAACACAGTAATATTAATTCTTTAACAAGTGATTTTAGGGAAGTTGTAGACTGCTTTTATGGGAAAATGTTATTATAATTGCAAAATTTAAATGTTTACATAAATTTATATTGAATGTCACAGTTTCACTGAAGGAAAGGTAGTTTGATATATGAATTATATTCTAAGGACAGAATCTGAAAGGAAATGTGCTCAGTAGACTTAGTGTAATGCTGACTGTTCCTAGGAAGTGATAATTTTCCTTTATGTCAAATTATTGAACTTCTAAAACGTCATCGTATAGTCATTCAACTGAGTTTTTTGTTTTTAAACAGGGTTTAGCATCACTTATTTAGATTGCATTGTTACACTAATTACACGTGAATGTATGTTTTACATAGGCAACAGTTTATAGAAGTTATTTATGCTATATTGAAAGTCACCTTAATAATTTACAGGATATGTAGCATATTTGATGTAATTATAGGACCAAAGAAAGCACATTTATCAAACTCTGGTCCTATGTGCCTTGCTGTACCAAATTACCTGACTTCTCTGGAGAATATTATAATTCATGACTTTGAACACATGGGGAAAATAAGAATGTTTAAGAACATCTATAATTCAATTTTTGGTGGTTCAATATTTGCTCCTTAAATTTACTATCTAACAATATTAAAATGGGTATATTATACAAGTGCTAGTAAACAGTACTTATTTAAATAAATTATGGCACCATTGCTCCATCACTGAGCTTTTGAAATTTTAACAATTGTTATAACTGTCATTTTGTTGTTTTATTTCTTACTGCAAGATATAATTTACTGTGACTTTCTAAATGTTTTTTAAATGATTTGCATTCAGAATTTGTCTGTATGTCTATATTTTGTTTAGAAAAATTCTTTTGGGTTTGGGATGTGATTTGTATATTTAAATTTTTATGAATATAATTGAAAGGAATATATAAACTTGTTAAATGGCTTTTAAAAATTGATAAATTTCTTTTTGCCAATTTTTGGGTATCTGGTTATTATCTGCTTAGATTTATGAAAACATTTTCCTAATTACTTATGTAAATTTATACATATAGTTCCTTGTTTCCCTAGTCATCTGTGTCTTATTCCTTCAATTAGTTTCCTTTCTATGTATCGAAAATGACTCACTTCCTTCCTCTCTAGTTACCTTTATCACAAATGATCTTTCTTCCTTTTTGCTTATATGAGCGTTTATGGAGTAAGGACTGGGTTTTATTTAAAGTAGTTAGAATTTCTCTACTGGTATGATAACAGCCTACTTAAGTAATTTATCTCTTTGCTAGCCTCAAGGCTAGGTAATTACAGTAATTGGTGTATGTTTTCTTCATAATTTGAATAGCTTCTGTTGTGATTATCAATTCACAGCACAGATCAAAAGATAAGCAGTATAAAAGATTTTATTTCTACCTGTATTACTGAAATAACCTTGTACAAAATACTTTGTTTTAAAATATTTCTAAAATAATACCAGCGTTTAAAAGCATTTACTTTGGTATACTCTTATGAAAAGCACTAAATGAAAATCATTTTTTATAAATTGGAATTCTTCCTGTTACAAGTAAATCACAATCCTTGCATCCCAGGGATACACAAATACATAATCTAAATCTTACAGATACTGGTAATTGTAACGGTTTTTCTTTTCTCAAAAAGATTCATTCAAAGCAGCACTATTTATGTATCTACTCCAGAAGAGAAGATAGCAAAGAGAAAATAAATCACCTTCAAATCCCTAAAAATTGTACTCCTGTAGTGAGTGTCTTGGTGACTGCAAATTTAGGGGTTTCCCAGATTCACCTCACTTTTCAACAATTCACTAAAAAGACAACTCACTGAAAGCCATTATACTCACAAATACATTTGTTACAAGAAAGGATACAAATTACTACCAAAGGAAAAGACACATAGGAAGCAGTCTAGGAAAATTCCAAACCTATAGTCCCTTTAGATGTCTGCCCCCACAGGGCATATGTTGTCTGCTCCTGATCACAGTATATGATAGAAGATAATGCACACAGCATTGCCAGCCAGTGAAGTTCACCCAAATTTTTTGCTGCCCAGATTTTTATTGGTGCTTTATTGGCATTGGCTCTTTGCCCACATACTTGAATTGACTCCTTTGGCTTCTGTCTGGAGTCCTGGCTGACATCAATTCCAGGGGCTCACCCTGACTAATCTTGTTAGCAGAAATTATCAGGTGTGGGCTGAGGGTCCCACCATGAATAACAAAAACACAGCTAATATCGAAAACTCCTAGATAAGTAGACCAGAACTTTCTTTGGATGGATAAGGGCAAATTCTTTATAGTGACCATTCACCTCTGTACAAATTCTCCTGAACTAAGGAGGATGACATAAAATTTGTCTGTACAGACACCTCTAATTTAAGCGTGGTTGTTTTTCATTTCTGAAGTTTTGTCAAGATTGTGAACAAAACATGACAAGTATAGAAAAACGCTTATAATCATATACAGTGCTAAGTAGCATATATAGTATTCAGTTCCAATTAATCACAATCTATTAAATGCATTATTTTAAAGAAAATAAATTAGAAACAATTTGTTAACCTTTTCTGTACATTAACATGGAATTTTAAGCTAATTTTAAGTTATCAGTAACTGTCACTATTATAAGGAAGAGTTAGTAGACCAAAACCGTTATTATTTGTTAACTTTGGTTCACAGTAGGACCTCAATTTTGATAGGTCCAGATTTCCAGTCATCCTTTAGGTCAGTTAAGTATCAGCTTTCCATTGGATCTAAATCACTTGTTTTATGCATTTATTTTCATTTGTTATTCATTTAGGATTTATAATATGTTAAAATAACTTCTTTAAGACAAATAACAGTATTCCTTTGAAAACAGAATTTACTTATGATGTACTCTTTCATTTTTAAGTACATCTGACTAGGTTTAAAAGAATAATGAAAGCTATTTACAGTGTTTTGGGGTAATCATCTGATAATGTAAAGAGGTTTAGTTAAATCATCTGATAATGTAAAGAGATGTAGTTAAATGTTAAATCAGAATTCACTTGTGTATTTTTTTTTAATCTCTCACTGTGTGTATATGTTTGCTCTTTTAAAACATACTATATACACAAACATGTATTTGTAGCCCTGATTTTTGAGGGTTTAAGTTTTCTCTTTTGGGCTAAAGTTTTATCATGTTCTACTGCATGTTATTCTGTTTGGATAGTAATTATAGAAGTTAAAAATTATGATGCTAAGTGCTTGCTTTTTAAATATATTGAAGCTGCTTCAACTTTTCCCCCAAATATTATAGCAAAGATAGATTAATACTTCTTGGGTGAATGATAGGATTACAGGAAATTAGAGGTGCGCCCATGTTTTATTACTGTTTCAAAAGGTTTGTCTATTCTAGTGATTACATTTATACATTTGTCTATTCTAGTGATTACATTTATACCAACATCTTACATAATTCTGTTAAAAGTCCCCTTTTTGCTTGCCTAGATTTCTTCTAGTTTGTCATCTAAGAATGATGTTCTTTGACTCCTAATTGCCTTTGTGACAACCATGAATGTTTTTCCATCTCATATTTTAATTGCTATTCCAATCTACTTGATTGTTATATGTAACTTAAACACTTTTCTTACCCTAGCCCTGGACTTTGTTATAAATTAATTATATTCAGTACTCTCCACTAACACTTCAGCTGGGTCTCCCGAGTCAACTCTCGCCTGGATGAAACTTGTGTAATACTCAAGGAGGGTTTCTAAATACAGTATTCCCACATTCTCTCATGTTTAAAGTTTCTCCTAGAGCCTAGATACTATAATTATAGCTTGATTAACTAAAATCCTTGGCTTATACCTTCTTTTAGTGTTTTCAAATGTTGCTCCATTATTTTTTTATTATAAATTTTATTTTTATATTCCCCATACAATTGCAACCCCCTTATTTTGACCCCAATCCCTCCCCTCCCTGCCCCCCACCCCCTATAAAGTGTGTCTGGTTCATAGTTGTTTGTTGATTTTGATTTTTACTTACTTATAGTTATTCTTTTTCCTGGTCCCTTATTTAAGTTTTCTAGATTCCTGCTATGAGCAAGACCATCCGGTATTTTTCTTTTTCTTTCTGGCTTATTTCGCTGAGCATGATCCCTTCCAGCTCCATCCATGTTGCTGCAAATTGCATGTGTTTATCTTTTTTGAATGCTGAGTAATATTCCATGGTATATATGTACCACATCTTCTTGATCCAGTCATCTATTTTTGGGCATTTGGGTTGTTTCCAAAGCTTAGCTATTGTAAATAGTGCTGCTATAAACATAGGGGTGCAGGTGCTCTTTGGAATTGATGTTTCTCTGTCCTTTGGGTAAATCCCTAGGAGTGGAATTGCTGGATCATATGGAAGCTCTATGTTTAGTAGGTCAAGAAATCTCCACACAGCTCTCCATTGTGGTTGGACCAGTTTGCACTCCCACCAACAGTGCAGGAGAGTTCCTTTTTCTCCACAACCTCGCCAACATTTGTTGTTGCTAGTTTTTTTAATATGTGCCATTCTCACTGGCGTAAGATGGTATCTCATGGTAGTTTTGATTTGCATTTCCCTGATTACAAGTGATGTTGAACATTTTTTCATATGCCTGTTGGCCATTTGCATTTCCTCTTTAGAGAAGTTTCTTTTTAGCTCTTCTGCCCATTTTTTGACGGGATTATTTTCTTTGTTTTTGTTGAGTCTCATCAGCTCTTTGTAGATTTTTGTGATCAGTCCTTTATCATTAGTGTTGTGTGCAAAAATGTTCTCCCAGTAGGTGGGTTTTCTCTTTGTTTTTGTTATTGTGTCTTTTGCTGTGCAGAAGCTCTTTAATTTGATGTACTCCCAGCTGTTTATCTTTCCTTTTCTGTTTTGGTTCTTTTTATTTCTGTGTCTTCAAGAGTACTTATTCGTTCATCTATTCTGCTTTCATTGCTTTTCCCAGAGTTCTTTAGCGCCTCCATTAATTCTTTGATCTCCTGCATTTCTTTTACTTCCCTCTTTAGGGACTCAATTTCATTCTTCTGATCGTTGATTATTTTTCCCTTATCATTGTTTTCCTTTGTGACTTCTGTCAGTTTTTTAATCATGGCAATTTTAAATTCTCTTTCTGAAGTTCTTCCAGGTTACTGTCGTTGCAATCTGGTGGGTGGTTTTCTTTTTGTGGTGTGCTTTTTCCCTGAGGAGTTCTGGGTTGCAGGTGGTTTTTCTACTTCCTACTGCCCGTTTTCTAATTTGCCGTATGCCTTGGGACACTGTGTTGCTGGTACTGGCCGGCATCTTTGGCGAACTTCCCAGCTCACCTCTGGCTCCTCCGGGAGCCTTCTGCTGGTTTCAAGCAGTCTTTACTGAAGAAAGGCCCCTGTTCTAAAATGCCGATGCGGGGACGCACTCCCTGTGTGCCCAGTCTGCTCCAGCGATCTGTTGCTCCATTATTGCTTGGTGTTTTGTTTGGTGTTTTCCATCCTTCAAAATGTTAATTTTGTTTGGTGGTTGTTTTTACTTGGAGACCCAGATCATTACTTTCCATTTCACTTTCATTTCTATTTTCTCTTAGGAATGCTGTGATTTTCTTTTTTTAGATGATATATTTTTTCAGTATATTACCTGAGTTTGGACAACTCTTACTTCACATTTTCCTATTGAGACTAAAAATTTTTATTTGTTGCATCCTTTCTTTCATAGCTGCAATTGCTCATTTAATGATAATATTGGAATGTTGGATATAATTTTCATATTTTCTAGAGTGTAGTATTTTCTATTAATTGAAAACTTTTCATTTTATAGGAGCCCTGTATACATTTTTGGTGAGTTTTTCTGTTCCTGATAAAATGCATAGGGTTTTCTTGGCTCAACAAAAAACAGGGGGTTTGATGGAAGGGAGTGGTAAAGGGGTGTGCATGACTCACTCCATTCTCTAGTTACAGAAGGCTGTTCTTGTAGTATAGCGAAGTACAATTTCTTTAATAAATGGTGTGTTTTGAGGGTGGGATTCTATGATAAAATCTTTTTATTTTTTGGAATATTTAGCTTCAGCCACTTGTCCTGCTCTCCAAAGAACCCCTCTCCCTTCCAAGGTATCTCATGAAGCATTTTCATGAACTTTTCAAACCCTGGTTCTTGACATTTCCAATATAATGATTCTTGGCCTTTTTATTAATTTGGGAACTCCTTATATCTTTCCAAGTCTTTTCCTTTTGTTTATGTTAGCCAGTGCTTGTTTCCATTTACTGTAATAAAAGGACCCTGATATATCAGCTCTTTAAAAGTTTGTAAATCTTTACAACTCCAAATCATAGCCACACAGTATAAAAACACTAAGTCAATTAGAATAAGACTCATCTGTATTTACTACTGTATTTACTACTGCAGTTCTTTTAGTACAAAATCCCAAACATTCCCGGCATTCAATGTGTTAATTTTTTTATTACTTTATTTCCAACAGCACTTACCACAATCTACAATTATTTTGTGTTCATTTTGTAACTGTGTCCCCAGTATAAGCTCTGTAGAGATAAATACGACCTCATTTATTGATGTATTTCCAGTGTCTATTAAAACGATGACAAACACAGGTACTCGTTAAACATTTTTGGAATGCTTGAACAGTAATCAGTTCTTGAGGATGAAAAATTGTGACAGCTGGATGAAGTATGATTTTGAGAGATTATGAAAGGTCAAAGTAACCATCCAATGATCTTACCAGCCTTCTACATCCATCCAAAATAATTAGGAAATCTATCTCATATTACTTTATCCAAAGAATTTCAAGATGGAATTCAACTAAAATGTTTCAAAAAGAGAATTTTTTTTTTTGTCCTTCAACATACTATTTTAAAACAAACGATGAGTTTACTTATTGACGGAAAATATAACTTGAAGTATCTGGCCAAAATGCCTTCCTGTTTTCATGGCTAGTTATGGAATTAGAAGGACTTAATCTTTTTAAATTTTATTTTGAAATACTTTCAAACATATATTAATATCACAAAAAACAGCACAAAGCCAATTGATATATTCCTCTTACCCTACATGTTAGTTCTATATGTCAGTTATAGCTGTGTAACAAATTATCCCAAAGCAAGTGCTTTTTATCTTACAGTTTCTGAGAGTCAGGAAATCAGGAGTGGCTAAGCTGGGTGGTCCAGGCTCAGGAAAGCTGCAGTCAGCTAAAGGTTGATCAGGACTGGAGAAACTGCTTCCAAGATAACTCACACATCTGCTAGCAGAAAGCCTCAGTTCCAGGAGCCCTGGGCCTCTCCGCAGGCTGCATGAGGGTCCTCATGACATGGCCACTGGCTTTCTCTAGACTTAGACCCAGAGTGAATGAAAAAAGAGTTAGTAGGAAAGTGCTGTGCCTTGTATTACCTACTTTCTTAAATGAATGCTGTCATTCCCGCCTTTTCTTCTATTTAGAGAAGTCACTAAGCTCAGCCCACACCGCCAAGGAGGGGAATGAGACTCCACCTCTTACAAAAAAAAGCATCATTCAATTCGTGAACATATCTTAAAACCGCCATACCCAAATTATTGAACATCTTGCCATTGTAAGTTATTTCCTATTTGAAGGCACCCCTCCCCTTCACGCCTTAAGGCATCAGTGTACTTTTCTTAAGGAAAAACGATCGTATAATGTGTCAAAACTTATCAAAATTTTAGCATCGTGATAATTTAATCTGCAGTCCACGTTGCACTTGAATTAATTGTGTTCTCGCCTCTCCACGGCCCTCAGCAAACTTGATTTTTAAAGAAAATGACAAAACGGGTAGCGGGCTACAGCGTGTGAAAGAGGCAAATTTTTATTGGGGGGAAGGGGGGGGGTGGGAAAAGCCAAGGTCCTGGGACTAAGGAGCTGCCAGCAACTTGCCTGGCCCAGTAGTTCCAGGGGCCCCGCACAGCAGGACAAAGACTATTTCCGAAAAGCCAGTTACCTGCTCCCCCCTCCGTCACCCCGACGTTCTGAAAAGCGGACCCCTTGGGTCCCCGACAGCGCCAAGAGTTGAGGACGTCGGGAGGAGCGACATCGCACCCACTCATCGGCCCTTCCTCCGAGAGCAGTTAACTTCTAGAAACTTCAGTCTCCATCTCTGAAGGGGCGCCACAGCGGCCCCAGCCGCCCGCGCCGGGCGGGTTAACCCGCGCAGCCCTCGGAGACGGAGCCGCCGGCCGACGCGTCCCCAGCCCGCGGCGCGGCGGGCTGGGGGGGTGTCGCCGGGGGTCTGCGTCACGGGGGCGGGGCGGGGGTCTGCGTCACGTGGGCGGGGCGCGGCGGGGCGGGGCGGGGCGCGGCGGCGGGCGGGCTCGTCGGCGGATCGCACGATGTGACGCGCCGCCGGAGGCAGGCCGGGCCCTCAAGATGGCGGCGGGAGCCCCGAGTGGCTCGGCCCGGCAGTAGCGGTGGGACGGCTCTCGCCGCTGGGGCCGGGCGCCCCGGGAGTGGCTGCAGCAGCGCCAGGAGTCGAGGATGGTAAAATGACCCAGGGGAAGAAGAAGAAACGGGCCGCGAACCGCAGTATCATGCTGGCCAAGAAGATAATCATTAAAGACGGAGGCACGGTGAGATGGGGGACCGCGCCGGGAGCCCCCGTCCGCTCTCCTCGCCCCCCAAGCTGTGGCTTCCGGCCGCCCCTCATGACCCCCACGGGCCCCCCACCCCGTCCGCGGGGCCGGCGTCTCCCGCCCCGGGGCGCCCCTGCCTGCGCTCGGCGGGCTTTCCTCCCCCGGCCCGGCCTGCGGCCTCCGGGGCCCGGCCTCTCGGGGAGCTGCTCGCCCTCGCGCACCTGCCGCCCGCTCCGGCCGCCTCTGGAGGCCCCGCGGCCTCGAGCCCACGTGCGCTTCCGCCGGGGGAGGAATCGGCGCCCGCGCCCCTCGCGCCCCTCGCCGCAGCCTCCAGGCCCCGCGGACCTCCCCCGCGCGCGCTCCCATATGCTGCGGGCCGGGGGGCGACTGGCGCGGCCGCCCCGGTCTTGGGGCTGCGCGCCCGGGGAGGTGCCTCCAGCGCGGGCAGCGCTAGGGGAAGGTGGGCTCCCCCGAGCCTGAAGCGTGGCGGGGGACACCTGGGGCCTAGACTTCAGTCTGCTAGTTTTCCAAGAACAGTGGTCACCCTGTTAGTTGTTTGAAAAAAATCACCTGGTGTAGTTTGAAATGAAAAAAAAATACTCAGTAGAATCGATCATGGCTTGAGGATTAGAGAACACTTTGAAAGGAAGGCAGATTGAGGGCAGGGGGAAGAAATTTGCTTTTAGAAACAGTTGTCATCACAATAAAGTTTAAGCAGTGTGCTGTCCTTAGCCAGCAGGGGACGTAGGGTTTTTGACGGAAAGTAACTCGCATATTTTTTTGGGGTGTTGAAATTTCTCCTTTGCTACACTCTTTGGTCTTTGTTACATTCGTTGAGATCGCGTTCTGAATTGGAATGGAAAGGGGGCATATGTGTTTTCGTCACCTTTCCAGAGGTGTGCAGAAATAGTTTCTTTGATGCCAACCTTGTTTTTATTTGTGTTGGAACCCTGATCAACTGCTAACACAGTGCTAAGAGTAAGTGGACCGCTTCGGAGGATTTGTTGAATTCTTTTGCAATAAAGACAACTTTCTTTTGACGTTTCAGAACACGGCCCAGCCAGTATGCTAAAATTCAGAGCGCTTGGGACATTTCAGGATGTACCATTAGTTAACCTTCAGATTTATTTGGTGTCGTAGATTTGACATTTGGTTAAAAAAAAAAGAAAGTCGGCAATTCAAGCCCTGAGATCTTTTTGTTGTGTTTGACTAATTTAGACATTACTTTGATCTAATCAGTTATGAATAGTCCTGGCTCTTGACCAAGTTATTAACGATTAAGTGGAGAGAGAAATAGTTTGGGAGTACTGTTTGTCTTTAGAATAATAGAAGCAACAAAAGATCGTGTTTTATAAAAGTGACATTTAAGATCAGTTTTCTTTCCAAAAGTTAATGAAAATGATCAAGAAACACCCTTTCCTTTCCCTTGTGAAGTTCAGTTTTGTTACCTCTGTATGAAGTTTTGTTCCAATCGCTTTATACCAGATGTTTTCATTCCAATGAAATTTCAATCCTGTGAGAGACTGAACAGTTTGTTTTTTTTAGCTTTTTAAAATCTTATTTATTAAAGTTGTAGTGAATTCATAACTTGCTTTTGGACACAGAATAGTTTTTACACCAACTATATGTTTATAAGAGGACACATAAATGGAAACTTTCCTTGAGAACTGTAGGCATGGGGGTTATTATCACTTACCATCTTTATACACTTAAGTTGCACTTTTTATTTTAAGAGCACTGGATACTTCTTCATATTGGGTTTTTGTTTTTTTTTTTGAATCTTTGAATTCTGTGGGGCCTATTTTGTGAATTTAAAGTGATAACACAGCGCCTCCCCGGTGGCGCAGTGGTTGAGCGCTGGGTTGCGAAGCTGCCCGCGGCCTCTGCGGCGCCGGTTCGATCCCCGGCTGCTCCCCGGCCACCAGAGGAGGGTCCCACATGGCGTGCAGACCTCTCCTGCCGCCCGCTGCTCCCCTCAGCAGTGTACTTCGGTCCTTCTGCCTGCTCTGCTCCCCGCTCTGGCTCTGGTGAATTCTCTAACCCTCCCGCGCTTCTGACTATGCCCAGTGCATGTATAAACAAAAACAAAGAAAGAAAGAAAGAAAACATGCCTCTATATAAAAAAAATAAATAAATAAAAATAAAGCGATAACACATTTCAAGTGATTTTAAAAATGTGTATACTTGCACATTCCTACATCATTTTTAATTATAGTTTTATTCCTATATAATAAGCAGGGGAAATTTATATTTCTATAAGTGTCAGGGAAATTTTTTTTACATTTGCATTTTAATCTACTCTAGTTTCAAATGAAAATAGTTACTACAGTTGTAGCGATGACTTTAAAATGGCATTTTCTCTTCTGCCTCTATTGGTCAGACTGTTGTTATGAATGGTTTATAAGAAAGATAATGCAATAGGCATTTAATATTATTCTATTCTTCGTGTTTCTTTGTGTTTTTAAGTTCCACAGTGAGTGGATTCATTCAGAGTTAGATGTCTGGGGCTGTGTGGTCAACGTGACAGACTCTGAACAGTATTTCACATCTCTGATTAGGGTACTGACCTGATCCCCTTCTGTTTTCTCCCTAGTGTTCAGAATGTTAATAAAATTATTTTGCTTTGTCCTTCTGCTAATGACATCTTTAAGCTTGATCAGCCAGTTTTAATATTAATAAAATTAATAATGAGATGTTAATGATTTGTGAAAAAGAAGACAGTTTTTAACAGTTGAAGAATGTGAATCCTTCTGAATTAACCATCTTAATCTACATTATTAAATGCTTTTCTTTTTGAATATATTTTTTTCCTTGAAGTTGGCTCTGAAGCCAGGCTATGGCTAACATGTTGCTCATCTGAGTAGTACACAATTATGGTAAATTACGTGAAAGTCTGCGATTCCTTTTAGGAGTTCATAACTTGGGTCTCCTCACCTTGAAGTTGTTTGCAAAATTTTGACTGTATATTTGCCAGAACTGTTTGTACTTCCCAAAGGTTTAAGACCAGTTGTTAAATTTGAAAACAACATAAGTAAAGAACAATTCCACAGATTAAGTTCAATAAATATTTGTCATCTACTGGGTGCTATTTCATCCAATGGTGATCTGAATGTGAATTTGCTTTTTGAAGCATCCATATGTAGAAATAGTTTTTAATGTAACTTTTGTTGTATCTCTTATTCAATGCAGACTATTTAGAACAGTTGAATTAAAAGTACATTCTGACATTTTAGAAAACTTCCCGTTTTGTTGTTAAATCATTACCAGATTGTAAGCATTTCTGTTGAGGTTAAGAGCTAAAGAACTATTTACACTAGTTATTTGTATTATCAAAGATAGAAATTTCCTTGATTTTTAAGTTTGCTTTTTTTTTTGTATGATGCAGTTATGGAACTGCATCTCTGACAAAGTGAAAAGTGCACAATTTTTTCCACAAGTGAATTGATGAGAGACTAGACAGGAAGCACAGCATTTGTGAATTGCTTTCTTGAAAGTTGCAAAATTGAAAACTGCACCAGCTTTTTATTCCTGGTATCTCTGATTTTAATTATAGTAGATAGACGACTGCAGCCATTTCAGAAATCTACACCCAAGTTCTGATCCTTTGCTCTCACACTCTCCTTACTAGGATAGGTAGGGTAGTTGCATAATAGCTCTCTGTAGCTCCCAGAGAACAACTCAGCAGCCTTTGGTTGCTAGTCTGCAAGCCATGAGGAGCATGGTGGTGCTTTTCACGAAAGCATCTGTTCTTCAAAGTTGCTAGTCCATGCCTAGTAACATCAGGACGTATATATTGTTTTAGGCAAACTTGTGGCAGGCAGTGTCAACCTCCTTGCCTCCATGGTTCAACGTTTGCCTTAGATTAGTATTTGGAAATAAATTAAGTGATTTTCTCAGATTATATATCCATTTCATCCCTATGTAGTTTGAAGATCTGTGCATCTGTACAAATTCACCTGCCCTTGAAGTGTGATTTGTTTGCAACTAACAAGTTTGAAGTAAAAGGAGTAGCTTTTTCCAAGTTGCATTCTGAAAGTATATATTGATTTAAATTTTTCAATTATTTAAAAGCTCAGGTTGTTTTTTAGCATTATTTTGAATTGAATTATCAATTGAAATAACATTTGATAGTTTCAGCCTGAGTCCAACAAGACCCCTGAAAATGGGTTTTGTCTCTGTGAGGAACAGATGTAGTAGCTAATCCTTAGGGGCCTACTTTCTCAGTAATGTAAGTTGTGAATTCTACCACATGAAATACTATACCCCTTTAGGGACTCTCTTTTATAACAATGGGTTCTAGAAAATATTTCATCATTTGACTACATAGGCTGAGTAATTAGAGATTAGACCCAGTTTTTTTTTTTTTAAGATTGATTTATTTATACAGGAACTGGGGTACAAGCAGATGTGCGGGAGGGTGAGAGGATTCACTAGAGAAAGAGCGGGGAACAGAACAGGCAGACTAACGAAATACACTGCAGAGGGGAGCAGCGGGTGAGACGGGAGAGGCCTGCCGTGCCATGTGGGCATCTCTGCTGACAGTGGGAATCAAACCGGCACTGCAGAGGCTGCGGACAGCTTCATAGCGCTGTGCTCAACC